TGAAACTGTAAGGTTGTCCTTAGCTAATAGAAACCAGTTTATCAATAAGATCTTCCCTGTGATGACTAAAGAGCTATCAGCTTGGTCTATCACATGTCACTCAGTACTTTTAAATGGAAGTTTTTAGTGCCTTTATTTTGTACTGTCAGTACAGGATACATTACAAGTCTGAAAACAATAAAGAAAATACTAATTATCCTCCCCCAATCATTTCTCTCTAATTCTCAACATAAAGAACCTGCAATGTCTGATCACTGGAAATTGCTGCAGTTCCTTAGGAGCTTTTCCAATAGAAAATCTTTGAATTGCTTGCGCTAACTACTGAGATCAGGTGCAGAATTCTGATCTCCTAGCTACCATCAGAGATGGCACAATTTCCTCGGGAAGCAAGGCTGTGTCTAAACGCATGCAGATCCTAGTGTCTGAAGACCATAAGACAAAGTAGAAATCTCTGCAGTGAATCCTTTCTTAACCAGCATGTGCATGTCTCCTGAATCAAATAGTGTTACAATTCACTAATATGATGAATAAGCATTCTCATATACATACAGTTTGTAAGTTTTGGTTGGAATGATGCAGTTGCTATAGGCTTGTATACCACATATGTAAATATTTATCTACCTTTGTTAACCAGGACTGTATGATATTTTTTCCTGGAAAGATATTAAAGGAAACCAGCAAATCTGAAGATTTGGTTCAGGATATATAACAGGAACAGTAAAAAAATCAAACTAAAAGTATAACTTTGCCTTGTTTGTAGGAAAGAGAGGATAGAGGGTAAAAATACACAAATTTCAGTTTAAAGACAGAAAGATGCTGGTAGGACTTTTATTGGACTCTAAGAAACTGAAGGATTTAGCCACAATAAAATGAAAGATAAACATGTTCAGGCAAAGACTGGAGCTCAGAGGCAAACCAGACAGACACCGGACCATGTTCCAGACACAACCCAGAGGGATTAACACACCTGAAGTGGGTAAAACTTTAAAGGTGTGTGTGATTTTAACATAGATAATAAATCTATTACGACATACTGTTGCAGTACAGGATGCCAGTGGCTTCAGCATCTCTATGAATGTTCTTGGGTATGCTCTTGTATCTGTCACAGATACATGAAACATGAAAAATGTCTCATGAAAAATGTCTCATGAAAAATGTCTCATGAAAAATGCACAGGATTCTGAGAAACCTGAAGTGAGATCCTGAGGTAGCTGCCTAGTTGCATTAGGCAGCTGAACAGTGGATTCAGATACAAGGAGAGTGCTAAAATATGAAACTTTCCTTCAAATGTGTTCCTAAGAGCACAGCCTTAGGGCAGTAACCAGTTTATGTTTAGTTTCCAAAGATATAAAGCACATTGGATCCAAGGATTGCAGCCCAAAACTTCAGTATGGTAAGTAATCAAGGGGGCATCTCTACTCTTTAGATTCTGATTTTAAATGTTTCTGGTCCAAATCATATTAGGGCCAGAGATTCTTTTGAAAAATGTTAACCCCAAATTCTTTTTGATGAAATACAAAAACAATATAGTGGTAAGCCACAGTGGGGATTTTTCAGTGACAGCATTTGTCATTTGAATCTATTATTTTCTATTTATGAGACTATTCTGATGTTACAGCTCATCTCCAAACCTTCATTAAGAGTATATGTATGTAGGAAGTACCACTAAGCAATCAAGGCTTATGAGACAGTAAACTTAAGGATGCCCATACATCCCAATGAATGCACATCTATCAGTTCATATATCAATTTCATTTGCACAAGTTGCATTCAAATAACAATAAACCTATTTCTTCTCAACCAGAGGTACTTAGGAGTTTACTAAAATTAAACTCGTTATAATCTGAAGGGTTTTGTTTAAATTCTTATGCAAGTTTTCTGCTCCCTAAAGTACTTATTTTAATAATTTTGACAAATGAGTCAGATTTTTTTTCTAACCTGTTACAAAGAGTTTTTACTACGTAGGGGCAGAGTCTTATAAATTAGTGCACGATGACCTAGACAGGGGCATGAACCCAAAACCTCTGGTCTCTCCTCAGTTAGCTGGGTGAGAAGATACTTGAGGCCAGAGCCCTGCAAGTTGTGCTAATGCAGCTCTGTCTCTCAGTGACTATGTGCTGGCTCTCAAATGAACTTGGTTGAATATATCTTTGTAAACACGACCTAAAAAAAAATTCTTTCTCAAAGCTATAAATGTTGGCTTTTTGTTGCATCAATTTGTGATGATTGTGACCAATCTAAAACGTAACACAATCTTTAAAAAAAATCTGCATTAAAGACTTTTACAGTCCTGGATAACAACAGTCTATTTACCCTTCTAGGGCACTCAATAATAACAATCAAAAAGACTATTCATAATTTATATTATTTTAAATGTTGCTTACCCAGGTAAGTAGAATTTTGCAGACCAAATATTAACCTGGACTTAAATTTAAGTTTAAAGAATGAGGTTTGCAAACACCTGCACTCAAACAACCTGTGAATATCGATAGAGAAGTGATTCAAGAAAATCTTGCTAACTCCAGCCAGTTCAAAGATTTTGGTCAATATTGAGATTTTTTAACCATCTCATAAGTCTCTTGTAGACAGACATGCATTATCAGTTCCATACCAGAAACCATTTTTTTCCAAGGAAAACAGTGTTTGTTGTAACTGCACTTTCAGAAACTCTTCAGTGTGGACAGAGCTTTTTGCTAAATCCACTAGCAAGTTGAATAATTTCAATATTTCCTTTGCGAAGCATCTTATTCATTTTAATGGTCAATCCTTAACTGTCAAGCTTTTAGTTTCTACGGATTTTTTTTTCAGAATAAACATTTCCTTAAAAAAAAAAAAAGTAGCAGGATTGCAAACAGGAACCAATGACATCTGAACAACAGCAAGGTCAGAGAAGACAAAGAATTTACCTGTTGAGTATAGAATTTACAACTTCTTCCCCAATAAATGAAGATAGTTGATCTTCCTCAAGTAAAGATTTCAACCAAATCCTATATTCAATTAATACCAAGGCTACTTCACATAACACATAGCAAGTCACATAAAGATAGGCAGCAAGTGTTTAAATTTCAGTGGAAAGTCCAGCGGTTAACCATGCAAACAAATTAACTTTTTCTACAGGAAACATGGCATTTCCATCTCCAGAGTGGTTAACATTTGCGTATCATTTCAGTAACACGTGGTTATGGTCAAGACATCCAGAGCCTGTATCCCTTAAGGCAAAAATGTGGAGGTTAATGTTCTAGACTAATAAATTTTCCTTCCCCTGTAGATGATCTAACTGAGGTAATTTACACAACCAGAGCTGGAAAACTTATGCTCAACTAAATGAATCATGAGTGTACAGAATACTTAAACTGAGGAAAAGACTGAGGGTAGCAACATGCAATTTCCAAAACCGTTGAAGAAATGCACTTGCAAGAAAAATAAATATAACATGGGATGTCTGTAAAGAGGCATCACACATAGGAACAAAAAAGAAAATTAATTTTTCTCTGTCTATGAGGCCAGCTATGGTATTTCCAATGTCTTCTGGAAGACCACTGAATAGCTCACAATCTTTCCCATTAGGAAGACAGAAAGACTTGTATAAGACAGGAAAGATCACAAACACACATGCAAAAGCAGAATAGAACTAATAGGATAAAAATAATAATAGAAGGAGAAAATACAAACCACAAACAGCAAATTAAGATGGCATATCCAGGTACAAATGATATGCATTAATTTAAATACTCATTTGAAAAACACTTCTCAACAGAAAGATCAAGTACCTTGTTGAATAATCTATCTTTGGACTTAGCATTTCAAAGCATCAATGACATTTAAGGTGGTGTACTGTTTCTTTAAAAACAGAATGTTGTAATCCCTTACATGGCAGAAAACACTTTTTGCAACTTCCCTTATGCTTAATATTAAAAGCAAGAACAGAAGACGTATCAAAGATAATTTACTTCTGTGTTTCCAGAGGCCAACAAAAAGTAACTGAAGGGTTGAAGCAAATGAGTTTTATTGCTCTGATCAAACCAGTAGTGGAGCACAGCCTGTCATTGTCTTCGTACAGCTCTCCTGCTACAATCACTATTTCAGTAACTCTGGGTTAGCGAATAGACTACTTAATGCAGGAAGTCTTCTCCCTGTCTGTGGAAATTCTCTGAAGCTGTAAACAGGGTGGTCCACATTGCCCAAGAACTACATGACAGGATCTTCTCTTACGACACTGTTTCCAATAATACTGCATACTCCAGGAGCAAAATCCTCCTTTTAAATCTAGGTTAACAGTTGAACTCCATGATCTTAAGGGTCTTTTTTCAATCTAAACAGTCTATGACAAATTTTGATTGGGGCGGTCTACTCTTCCTACTGCTAAGAACATAAACTGAAGCTTGCAGTGCTTCAAAAATTAAATTGACAGTTATCAGAACTTGAGAGAATAGCTCCCTCCTTTGACCTTTTCCCCCAAAAATTAGTACAAAAAAATCTTCAGAGCAGTATTTTATTTCTCATCCAACCATTTTGTTTTGTTGACTTTTTCTAACATAAATAGAGCTGTAAAGTACTGCAATATAATATAACCTGGAAAATAAGATTTTACAATCAAAAAAAATCTAAAGGAAGTAAAACATAGCATGATTTGTACTTAAAACAGAGGAGGCTACTACATAGATATTTTATCACTATAGAGTTCAATATACATATTGAACATATACAGTTCAATGTAATCTGTAGACTTCCTCACGAAATTGTGCACACCGTCACTAATCTCATGGGCAGAATCTGACAATGTTTTATTTACAAGTAACACAAAGCTCTCTTACTTAACTTATCGAAATGCTAATGCTGCAGTTCCCAAAGTTATTCACATAACTCACACCCCTAAATCCCACTGAAATATGAGCATCCAGTTCAAATTAAGTTTTTGAACATCTCTTACTATGAATTTGCCAAATCCCAAAATGCACTATAGTTCTTCCTGTCGAGAACGGCTTTCATTATCATATCACCTTTCTCGTAGAGCTCCTCCATCGCCCTCCAGGTTTCAGCTCGGACCTCTCGGTTGCTTTTACCAGGAACTTGTGCATCAGGCCAGTGTATTAAATAAAGATCTAAAAAAGAAACAGAACCAGACTCCTCATTAAAGGGTCCAAAAATAAAGATATCAAACCATGTGAAATAGCATTTTCTGTCCATAATGGCCCTTAAAATATTATCACCACAATAGTTAAAATTGCTACTCCATGATCATTACTGTGCACATACATGTAGTTTTAATAAACAATATTGACAACATTTCAATAACAACTAAAGGTAGCGGAAGTCACATGTGAGCCACTGCTTTAAGTCACTGTCATCAGAATTTCATGGTCACATATGGACTTAAACTTTCAACACATAACAAGCCCTATTTAAATCAAAGGGATTTTGGGCACTGGAGTTAAGATGGGACTACTGCTGAAGTGTTACAAGTCTTCAGGTTTATGAAGGATAAGTATGTTTGGCAGTTTTACAGATATTTTATGGAACCTCAGCAGTGGATCTGTTATTTTTCCTTTCTAAAGGATACCTCCATTTATTAATTTTTATTCAAAACGACAAAAGATTCTTTCAGGTAGTATTTTGCTATAATTTTGTGGCAAGATTTGTAACTTTCTAAAGCATTTAAAAATATTACTTTAAGGGAATAAAGTTATGCTTTACTACATTTTATGACACGTCAGCCTAAGTTCAAACACAATGAAGATTTACTGTTGATGAAATTATCCAATCAGCTACTGAAATTGGCTGTCTCAGGAAAGCATTTTTTTTGCCTTGTCTCCATACAAGAAGACTATCCTACCGAAAATGGAACATAAACATAAAATAAAACTGAGAAATTTACACATATTGGAGTCAGAGATCCAACCCTAAATTTCAAAAACTATAGAGTCTATAAATCCTTTATAAGTTTGCAGACACTGCTAGAGAATAAGTACATTTCTGTCTAAATTCTAACTGCAGATTAAACAGGTACCTTCAGGAATCCCAGTCAAAAGAGGTGTTGGTCTTTGCCCCATACATTAGTTAGACACAAAACAGGATAAGGAGATGTGCAAAATTGTCTTTGCACTTTATAATATTTCTTTTCTGGCAGTTCAAAGATGGAGTTAAGAAATGAAAAAGACTTGTTTGCAATAACCAGAGTTTTTTTTCTTCAGCTGCATCACATCACTCATTTATAGGATCTCTTTCTCGAAACACAGATCTCCTGCCAAATTTTTTTTTACTCATTTAAGGACTGCACTAATGATTACTATACAGTTGGGCTGGTATATTAGCATTCCACCTCAATACATACAAAATCAACCTCAATTTAAGAGAAAAAGGTAACATGAGATTCACTATACTATACCAGTTCCCATTTGGGCACATGACTGCAACACTGTTAAAGTATTTTCTTATGCTAAGAACCTAATTAGAATGGTGCAATAATTTGTACAGTAAGAAACATTACAGGTGTACCAAGGAAAAAATATTTTGGGTGTATCACAAAAATCATGAGCTTAATCCGCACTTTCTGATATCACAGAATCACAGAAACGGGTTGGAAAAGACCTTCAACATTGGGTGCAGCCATTAACCTAGCGATGCCAAGTCCATCACTAAACCACGTCCCTGAGCACCATGTTTACATGTCTTTTAAATATCTCCAGGGATGTCAATAACTCATTGGACTTTTTAATACAATTGCTCAGATGAACAAATATCACTCACATATGATAATTTGCAGCATCTGGATTTATGCCACATTTAAAGAGGAAGTTGCTCATTCTTTGCCCTTATATACATAAAACTAGCTCCCAATTTAGAAAAGAGTAAAATCACCCACATGCAAACTTGTTCATCACTCAACTGCAAATAATTAACTCTTTTCTCATTACTCTGAAGAAAGAAGTGCTCTTTATTAAGGATAAATACCAATTTCTGTGACAACTTCTCTGGCAATTTCTAGTGAAAACTAAAATTGGCATATTGATAAAGCATATGGTAAGATTATGTTCAAACCTCGAGACTATTCCAGTTCTGTTTCCAATACAGTTAATTTTAAATTTCCACTGACATACCAGATGCAATTCCAAGGATTAACATTATGAATTGCTAATATTAAGTGTTCACTTTGATGCAAATTTATATATGCCATTCGCGGTACCTACCGCATAGAGTCTGCCACGTCTATTTGAATTTAGGCTTTTTGTTGAAATAAAAATTACTTAAGTCAGAAAACACACACATTTAGGGCTAGAAGGCATCTGTAGGATCACAAAGTGCAGTCCACCTCACTGCAAGAAGAGTTCACAAAAGATGTGGGACAAAGGTGCCTTATGTAAGAGGCACAGAGTAGAACAGTCAGTCTTCCTGCCGCTCGTGCAAAATCCATCCCAGCACATGGAGAAGCGGAAGGAACACACAATCTATCTTGCCCAGAGCAATGGAGTTGCAGCACTATTTAAATAAATGAGGCATAGTTCATTTTAAACGAGGATCTGCTTACTTCTATGCACCTGCTCAAAAACTTTCCACAATACCTGCAGGCCAACAAAAGCAGATAGCAGCACCTCATAAACCAAGGTCTAAAATTTCATCTTCATTTGTACACGCATTCACACCTACACACTTTCTTTGCTTAAAATACTTCCTCTCCTGGGGTATTACGAGAACACAAACACTCTTATTTTCATTTTGGAGGCAAGAAATTAGTTTTTAATTATTTATCTAAATAGCTTAAGGTTCTAGTAATCAAGAAATGTATCATTTTATCACTGAAGGTTTTTAAGAACAAAATTCATTTTTACTGATGGGGTTGTGCTTTGTAGTGTGCTTTGAGGTGTCTTCCAACCATGTTTTTTTAAAATAATCTTAAGCAAAACAAAAAAAATACCCCAATAATTCACAGCATCAGGATGCACTTGAGAAAGAAGAAAACCACCTCCAAACATTCACAGTCTAATTTTAGTTATCAACTTTTTAAAGCATCCTTTACATTCAAGCTGTAGTCGTACAGCTTGTAGTGAGGGCCCAGAGTCTAAATGTCAAAACATAGTGCTGCAGGAAAACCCAAATTAACCTGTGAACTTCTTTCGCAGACATGTAAAACAGAGCAGCTTATTACTTCTCAGTGGTTGCAGCACTTATTATCAACACAGTTCTTCTTAACTCAAAAAATAGAGGAACATTTTACACAATTAAAAACCAACAGCTTGTTGTCATGAAAATAAACGTTTGCAATTCTATTCAAATTCCTAATACAATATTAAAAAAAAACGTCAAAAGTTTAGAAGAACAGGCCCCGGCTTACATGAAACCTAAAAGCAAGAGTATTTCCCTGCTTTTCTGAACTGTCTCTCTACACTTAGCATGTACACAATACATTTTTCTCTTCTGCCCAATTTTTCATTGTTGTTTTTATTCTATTGGAACGAGGATCAATGTGAAGCAACTTCCAAAGTGTTCTGAATTAACAGAAAATCTGAACAGCGCGTATTATCATACTTCGTGCGGTTCACTGAATGTGCTGATAGAATACTCGTCCAACTCCGGTTGGGGATTTGTGATAAGTTATATTTGCTTGAACGTGACAGGCTCGGAACAGTCAGAAGGAAAATAAAATTGTTTGTGAATCTGGTAACCCACAAATCACATTGAAGAAGAAGTTAATTCGGAGCTTTGATCCAAATCCCACGGAATGTTTTCTGCTACTGCCAAATTCGTAAGATCTGCTGCCATTTCACATTGGTTTACTGTGATTGCTAGTTGAGGACTACAATTAGAAAATGCAATGACCAGAGTATCTGTTACAACTACTGCCCACAAATAATACAAATTTCCAGTTTCTCATGGATATACAATTTCCGATTCCAATAAAAATCCTGAAACATCGCTCTCCTAATACCTTTTGGCAAAAAATGGTTATCAAAAAGGTTTCATAATAGTATTTTCCATGGAATACTTTTTCTCTTAAAAAGCTGTGACTGCTTTCAACATTTTATCTGTTTCAACAGCTGGCATTCTACATACTGCTAATGAACAGATTTATCAATTCTTCTTCAATTATTTCCCAAAACTCTAACTCAATCTGCATGAATGGACTGTGCAGACAGTAACGATCCCCCCAAAAATTAACAGCATCTTCTTTGGAACAAAGACTATATTTCGCTGCCAGGGCTCCTACAGCTTTTTCTTTTTGAAGTCTACAGAATGAGTAACTTTCCCTCTAATATAAAGGTATAACAACAATGATGTATTATTTAGGATTTTTCAATTTTCTGTAAGAACCACGTATCTTCATGGAAATGCTACAAACCTCACATATTTGGTTAATATATAATGCAATCAGGGAATTCTGATTTAAGTACATTTCATGTACATTTACTTCACATTCCTATTTCACAGAAAAACTGCCAGCTTTAACACATGCTTATAACTAAACAATTTACTTTCCTAAATAAGCTTGGAGACAAATTGCTCTGTTACTAGCAGATCTTTTCTTGTCACCGATTTCATGTCCTCTCTTTGGTGTACACTAGCCAGCAGAAAAGTGACACAAAATACAGATATGAATGAAAACAGAGTTAGGATAGCTAAGCTTAGCTTTACAAGCTTGTAACCATATTTTCCAACCTATATTCTGCACTCCAGTTACTTTTATTAGGCTTGTTCTAAGTCTCAACTTCCAACAAAAACCTCTTACTCTAAGCACCTTGAAACATTTGAAAAGTTCATATTTCAAGATATTGACACTTTTTGCTTTTAAATCCTTCCAATAGCACCTTTCAGACCCACAATTTCAGACAGGAGGTACAGGACTCCCTAAACTGATGCTTTCTACGAAGCTCATGAAACACACCACATATTGTGCCTCCTCTAAGGGTCTACTTCACTAGTTTATGTAGCCCTAAACGTCAAACTCAAACTTTCTCTTCCACACGAATGCAGATCATACTGTGTTTAACAAAAATGGTCTGCAGAGCTGATCCAGCAGAGATTAAGCTCAAGCAGCCAAAACCGTTACTCCGCTTGCCATCCCACCCTTGCAGAGGCAGCCACTCTCATTGACAGGTCAGTGAATTGCATGCGAAGCACTTCCTAAGCCATGACAGTTTACAAATCATCGAGTTAAAGCAAGCTGAAACCAGCATTTATTTAGGTCACTATGTCAGACTAAGAGGTGGTCCAGGAAGAGCTTTATAAATTTTTCAGACGTCTCCACATCAGTGGAAGAAAGGTGAGGAAGGGGGGGAAGAGGAAGATGGGTGAGGGTATTAAAAAAAAGGAAAAAATCTAGTATGAAGGCAAACTGCACAGGCAGTTGCAATGGTCCTTAATTTCTCTTAGTAATATGAGCAAAAGAAGTCTGAGCTGAACCTATCTGATGAACTGAAGTTGTTTATAACAGTCCAAGGACTCACTCACGTGGTGACAGTATTGGTGCACTTCTTGCTCTCAGAGATTTTTTTTTTTCCTTGTTTCACATAGTTCTGCTTAGCAGCACTATGTAAGCACCTACTTTAACCAGTCTATTACCTGAGAAAATAAAACCAAATTATAGTACTAAAAGGAATCACCAAAAACCATTTCTGGAAGTGATTCAAGTTTTGCTCTCATTGACATTCAGCCCCAGTGCCACTGCAAGCAGAAGAAATAAGAAAGCAAACACAAAACATCACAAGCAGAAAGTAGAGAGCAGGAAACATGTTGTTATTTCTCAATTTAGAGGAGAAAGTCAGGGCTTGAAAGATTGTTTATGAAACTCTCCTTACAGTGACCTGTATTTGCACAGGACAGATAGAAGGAGATTTGAATTCATTTTGCAGTAAGTTAAAAATCCAGAAAGAATGGAGCCTAAGATGTGCATACAAATATCTCGGTCTAAGGGATACAGGTTTTCTTCCCTTCATCTTGCAAACTACCAAAGCAAAAGAGCAAGTTTATATAGCACACAGCTGCCATTAATATTAAATGCCATTATTGCCACAAAATTTGTTCTTCACAAAAGCTGTTCATTTTCTCATTAAGGTTTATTTATTGGTGACAGGGGAACAGGGTGAGGAAAAAGGAGTAAAATGAGGGTTTTCAGGACACTGACAGATGATGTCTGATGGTTAGGTGAATTACTCCTTGATTATCAGCATAAATGCTATCTCCGCCAGAGGCATCATTTTAGATGATTACTTTAAATTCACCCTCCTCTACCTCCAAATTCTTTTCATTGCTCCAGATAGGAAAGAAGAAAGCAAAAGCATTAAAAAAAATACTGTGTTTGTTCTTATCTCCTATAACCAGTTTCAAAGTATTAATTGGCATACTTATTACAGCTCTTTGTCTGTCTAATAAGGAAGTAACAATAGCACATCTTTGACTACGCAAGGTTTATGATCAGGGTAAGTTTAAAAGCCTAATTCAGCATTAATAAGATTTAGCCTTCCAATGTCTTGTAGATACTTTTCTCCAAAGTATATTGCATCAGATAGGCCAGACCAAAACTATGTACTCAGGATTTTTAAAAGTTAGTAGACCTACAAAATATATTTTAGAAAGGACTCCCATTCCTTTAGATGTAACAGACCACAGAAGAAATAGCCATTTTCGTCATCTGGGTACCAATAAACTGTTGAACAGCTTATGAATCCTTGCTTCATAGGCTTCAAGGTTTCTAGCAAAACATATAAAACTCATGTAGTTGTTCCTCAAATCCATTTAATGATGAAACATGCCTTTATAAAACATACCTGGATCTGGTTTAAAACATTTGCAACAAGGAAAAAAGTCTGTGCTCTCAACTATATGCATGTGAACTTCCTAGAGGACAAACAGAACAAGAAATCTGCAAATGTGAAAATAAAAGCAGAATTTGGTTTCCATGATCTATCTGTACTACATAATATTTTTTTCAGAAATTCATTCATCTTTGCAACTACCCACACAGAAGGTGCAATAAATGAGCTAGATGTAAACATTCATACCAAGATATTCAACGCCAAGTCTTGCACATGAATCCAAGCAGGCTTTTTTTGTGTTTTCATAGCCATAATCACTGTGCCACAGTTTGGTAGTTATCCAGAGGTCCTCTCGCTTCACACCACTCTCTTTGATGGCTTTTTGGAGGAGAGATTCACAGCCGTATCTTTTTGCTGTGTCAATATGACGAATGCCACATTTTCGCAATGCATGGACCACAGCATCATGTGAATAGCCACCTTGATGGGAAGTACCTAAACAAACAACATCAGAAGTGAATTGTCAGCAGTGGATTATGAGGGACGTAATTTATCATTCCTTTTAATTTTTGCTTTCCTTTTTTCTGGTATATTTTCACAGAACCTTCTTATTAGATTTTCATTTCCAATAGTAAAGAAATGGACACTCACAGATCTCTAGGCTGGGAAAATACATAAAGTGCTAGAATGTTGACAATGATCATAACTAACTCCATCAAATCAAGTATCAACAGCATTTAACCATAAATAAGTGATTTTGGAAGTCAGGCTGAAGACCATCAAAGAGAAAACACATATTTTATAAAAAATTAGTATGTAACATTTTTCATATAGGAGCACAACACTTACAGATGAAAACAATAAGAAACATAATACAACTTTAAAAGCAATTTACTTTGCAGAAAGCATATCCTGAAATCTCTATTCTGTTGAGTTCCTACTAGCTTCAAGTTATTATGGCATTGTACGACTTCAGACTGGGCTGTACCACAGGTGCAATTCACATAACGTCAAGCTCAGCAGTAACCAAGACAACGGAATCCTGCACAAGAATTACAGAGTGGGCATAAAGGAATTTTCAGTAACAAAGTACCATAACTCTCATTGTGTAAGTATTCACTGGACGTGAATTTTGCATGTCAAGAAGACGGAAGGAGGAGGAGACTCAGCAGGA